ATGTTGAATAAAACATCTATGAATAAATTTACAGATTCAAACATTAGAAAATTCATAGCTATCCAAAACACCTTAATTCTGCATACTCATGATTTCTGCCTTTGTGTAAAAAGAAAGTTATCATTCACTATTTAGCTGGCTGATGTTGACTCTAGTTCAGAGCCTAGGCTACAACGGAATTAGCTAAATCAGTTGTTAAGTGTTAGGGTCTATACTTATGAGATATGGATCATTTGAAATCAGAATATTTTTTCCCCCCACACTAATCCTAGACAGATTTATATTCCTTTGTGTATGTGGTTTTTGAATGCATTGTTTGTGGGGTGAAAAATGTTAAGAAGTTCTTGGTTTATGCTATACATACTGAATGGCCATACTTCTATATCTTGCAGGTGCAGTATTCAAAGTGGTAATAAAGAATTTGGAAATTCTATTCATATTTTTTTTCTTTGGAGTATATAACAATAACAAGGTTAGAGTCAGTACAACCACTGTATGAGAAACATTAAGGCGTTGTAGTTTTTTTGAATCACTGATAAGATTAAAACTACATTTATGGTGGGATAAGGTATTTTTAAGGCTCTGATTTTTCCAGCATATCACTACAGAAAAAGAGTTAAAGTAGGTTATCTTTAATGTTTAGTTCCATATTTTCAGACTATGACCAATTATCTACCTTCCTAAGACAGGCTTAGAGAAGATTTCTAAGATGAACCCCATTTAAATATTAAAGTAAGATAACTCCTATTATTGCAACTGTTCTTCTCCTATCTCATCTTTCTCATCCACCTGTTATGCTTTGTCTTTCATAACATATATTATTTGAGGCACTTTCATTTACTGTTAATCTGGCAAGGGTCCTGGGAACATTTGGCTGATTGAGGTATCATGGCATCCTTATCAACATGCACATATCTTGTGCCTGGTTAACTTAAATTTAAGTGGAAGAAATGTCCTTTTACCATGATCAAGCATCCCTCACAAATCATTCTGCATTTCAAAGGCTAACTCTGTAAGGGAAATCAATTACAGTAGTGGGTCCCAATGTTTTTAGACTCTATGCACTCCCATGAAAATGCCAACTCTTAGCTTTCCCTCATTTCTTAATTATGAAAAAATAACAGAGCAGTTCTTCTCAGAGAGATCACAACAGCTCAGAATGTTTTTTTGCTTTAGAGTCCTATCTGGAATCTTTGGGTTTATCTTGTGAATCAAGTTTAGGTGTCTACACACCCAACAGTGACACCCTGGGGCAGAATTGCTGTTCTAATGAGAAAGATTGCTACTGCACTTACTTTATCAAATATGTAACCTGTCTAAATTATGATTGAACTCAAGTCAGATAAAGCAAGTGTTTAAATCTAAGCCCAGCTTCAGCTCCAGCACTAACCCCAGCCTGGCATTCATTTGATCTCAGGCAAATGTAATGGCAAGTGAAATGCTCCAAAATAGTACTTCATGTAAACAGTTCCTCTTTTGGAGTGTTTCAGCCACTTTTAGAACATGTGTGAGGTGCATGTACATGCGACTCTATGGCCTCCTAAAACATTTTAAAGGAGTTTGAAACATTTTAATTGCTACATGTGTCCATACCCTATGTTGTATGCACGTTTGGTATGTAAAATAAAGGGTTAATCAAAAACAAATTGTGACAGACCACAAAGAGAAGAGATTGAATGGGTTTGGGTTCATAGGAGTAATTTTTAGATATAGGTAAATCACAACAGTTTCAGTAGATTGTTTCAGATAGGAACAATTTTCTTTTGCATAAGCAAGAGAGCTATCTGAGGCTAGCAGGTCTATTCAGACAGACCATACAACAATCTGTTTTTAGATCTTAAAGACTTTTCCTGCTTTAAATCTGGCCAAAAAGGCAAGAATAGCTTTTTCCAAAACATTCTGGACACTTCAACTTTTGTCCAACAGTCATGGAAAATAGTACAAAAAGTTGACTTGATTTTTCTGTTATCAGAAAAGTTTCAATTCATTTGAGTTTTAAAATTTGGCATGGTCTATCCACCTAGGTCCTATTTCCTGAACTATTTTGCCCACCATAAAAAAAAATTATACGGGAAAGAAGTACCTCCCTTCTATTGTTCCAAAATAAAACTTCAGACATTAAAAACAAAAAAGTCCCTTTCCTATTTCTGGTTTGTTTCTGAAATAAAAAGGTAACATGAAAGCTAGTATTACCAGACATGTGAACCTTGAAATCTAAGTCTTATAACAGAAATTCTATTTACTACTTTCATATAATCAGACTTTCAGTTTACTAATACCTGAATTATTTGTTATAGACACAACTCTTAGTCCATATCATTCAAGATTAATTTATCTCCCACACACACACACACACACACACACACACACACACACACACACACACACACACACCCCAAGATATAAATCCAGGGCAACAAACTCCCAAAGCTTCAGATGCATAAGGTAACATCAAGGGATGTATTTGGTAGCCGTGTTGGTCTGAGACAAAAAAAAATACAAAACTCTAGTACTCTTGGTGTATAAAGTAACATCAATACATTCATGAAATAATGAGAAGATTTGTTAATTATTTGTCTGGCATTTAATTTGTGAAATCTTGGGTCGTTCCTGAATTCTCATCATCTTAAGTCATAGATATCCGAGGCCTAAAAATAATTATATTTATTAATATAAACTGTCCTTATGCCTGATCCTTCTTAGATGTCTTTTTACTAACTGAAAGGAGGATTTACACATTGTCATGAAAAAAAAAAAAAAGTGTTATTGCTTACCACCTGTACAGTTCTCCAAAAACCTCATTTCTGTTGAACTCATGGAAGATGCAACTATTATCAGCCCTCCTCCCAAGGGAACTGTAGTAGTGTTTTCAAGTGCTGTTTTCAGTATGATAAGAGACCAGGTGTCCCAAAAACTAATCAGAGCTGCTTCAATACCTTACTAATCTAGGAGTCAAATAGATGAATAGCAGCAAGCTGTTAGGCCCTGATCCTGAAGATGCTACTGAGCTGGTTACGTGTAAGCATATGAACAGTCCCAAAGAAATGAAATGGGCCACTCAAAGATTTGCTCTTAAACACTGGCATACAAAGAATCTAACTAGTTAGGATCTTTAGGCTGAAGATAGTTGCCTAAAAGTTTCCATCTCAGAAAAAAACTTCTTTGTTGTATCTTTTGCCTATGTTATTTGTTTCTCTCCCACCCCACACTTAATTAATATATTTATTAATTATTTCCCTCCCACATATACTTAATTAATATATTTCCTGTAGTGTTCTGATACAATGCAAGCCATTTTAACTTCAAATGAATTTATGATCAGTCATGCCTATCTGTTTGAGAAAATAACATCTTCATGTTAGGCTGTTTACATTAATCAGCAACTATTTAGTCTTATGAAAAAGTATGGTTTCCAGAACCACACACTTTGCAAACCATTCATTTTCTCTCAGAAATATGAGAAGTCAAAGATATGTTTAATCCTAAAAATCTGAGGCAAAAACCCTCTAGCTGCCCATTAATAATTACATTATTTTTTAATTAATATCTCATTGGTGTAGGACATCTAGCCAAAAACCACTAACGGACACACAAATTCTCTTTCCCCACCCTTCCTCATCCATTTAAAAAATGTGATATTAGTTCAGAGAAGAAATTTAGAGTCATTTTGAAATATTCCTCGCTCGGTTTTCTTTGACTAAGGGAGAAGGAAAAACAAAACAAGACAAAACAAAAATCAACAAAACAACAGCAACAACATCCAGCAATGTCATATACTATTCAGAATTACTGTGATCTCCTCCTAAAAGTACCATCTCCAGCAATCAGGACCATAAGGAATGCCAATACAAACTGGTAATTACTTTTTAATACAGCACTCTCAGGAAATGCATAACTTGGTACCGTAATCCTTTAGACAACTACCCGCTTAATTCACCATTCTTAGATTTATCAAACTGACATTTAATATGAAATCCTAACTAGCATCAGACATAGCCTAGGAAAGCGCTGTGCAAGAACAGATCTCTGGCAGTGAACTTCATCTCTAATTAGCAAGTGTTTGACTTCTCTCACAGATCTCTCAACACCACCTCCAACTTTTCTGATGTTGACTAATGCCTGCTCAAGATTGAGGATGAACCACCAAGCTCATTCTCATTTATTTTCCTCTGGTAAAGTTCTAGCGTTTTCGTAAATTCATTAGGCAGGATGTCAGCTTTAGGACACCAAAGCATAATTCCATGACTCAGTATAATTTACTGGTAAGTGTATGTTACAACTTGTCCTCTGCATTTATCCCCAGAGGCAATGAGCCAAATATACCTACCGACTTTACTGGTCAAATTTAGAAAAAGGATGATCCTTGGTCCACTGATTAATCATTACTCTTTGTAAAGTAGATATCTCCAAACTCATTCATACAGTGCCACATAATGTAAAAGTGTTGAGTTGTTGTAAAGTTCTCACTCTCTGCTGGCTGTTTTGTTGGCATCAAACATTTATAATTACAAAAAATATCACCACAGACATACAGTTAAATCCCCAAACAAAAGTCCTGTAGTATAGCACCTATTAAACTGGAATGAGGTCTGTATGATTATATCATCACACTAAATCTTTATTACACAATTACTTTAAAAATTAACTTTATAAAATAGCTTCTTTTTTATTTTTAATTACATGAACCCATGCAAATTAAAAGCCTGCAATTCAGGGACCAACATTGAGATTTTTAACAGACTTAGACAACATTACTCATCTTTTCAGGAACATCAGGACCAATTTTTAAATGGTTATAAACATTTTGGAAGTAATCAATATACAATCAGAATATCCTACAGGAATTATAACATGTTTTGGCACTAAAACAAAGCATAACTGAGACAAACGGTTGTAGTGCTTTTACATCCTTTGAATTTAAGCAACATCATCATGGCTTCCATGTATATTAATGTATGATATCAGCAGAATTTGAACAGTGTAATATACTTGTAACTTACCTAGCTGGGTCTCCTGAATTGTCATCTTATTTTCCAATGGGTGCAAAAGCTTTGGTGGTTTATCTGTTAGTGGTGCTAGGAAAAAAAATGAAGGTGTATATTACTGTTCTGAATAATTCATACTATAAACCAGGCTTTGATTGAATATGCTAGCTAGGACATTCTCTAAAACATATGCATTTTTATTAAATTATCTTCATATTACAAGGAACCATGACATATTATACATCATCACTAATTAACAAAAATTTTCATGCCAAATTAAATGTTGTTATTTTTTCTTGGAAAGGTCTTTCTGACCCAAAGACGACCTTTTTGCAAACTTCAATTTCGCTATTCTCAAATGTGTAATCACTATATCTGTAAAAATGTAAATCATTACTGATTTATCACAGTTTCCCTAACATTTTGAAATGAAGGTAAATATAAAGTGGTTTAGAACATGATTTTTGTTTTAAAAAACCCACAAAACCGGCCAAACAAAAAACCCCAATCGACTAGAACACTTTAAAAGATTACTGAAACTTTGGAGAAGCAAAAGGATAAAGAAAATGGGTCAATGCCAATTCTTGAAATCTAAGAAATTAAACTTCAAAAATTTAAAGATTATTTTCTATGTTTTACATGCTCCAGTATTTCCATTAAGGAATTAACCCTATATTGAGGCATTTTAAAGATAACTGATTGTGTCCAATTCTGTAACTGCCAAGGTGCAGACATGCAATGCCTTGAGAACTGAAGATGTCTGGCACCTTGTCAAAGATGAGTGTGAAGTTATAGTATGGACACCGAATATGCTGCCTTCACATGCATCATTATCTTTTGAAAGAGCAGAACTAAAATGTCAAATCCCGCAGCAAAACTGGTGTAGCATTCCTACTCAAATTCTTTTTCTACGAACTTAATTGACAAATCCACATTAATTATTATTGATGTAAAAATATTCTTTACTGATTTATGATAGACAGGTATATGACATAAGAAAAGAAAAGAAACATTGAAATATGCTTTATAAAAAAATCACCAGTAATACATGTCTACAAAAAAGGTTTACATTCACTTTTGAAGGCACCCAGATATTTTCTTTTTGATGTTAATTTATACTCATATTTAATAGAAATTATGGGCTGTCATTGATTTGAAGTGTTTGACATTTTGACAAAAACCTACAATCCATATTCCATCTAATTTGTCAAAATCACTATTCCTTCCCCCACATAAAATTGGCACTATACACACACACACACACACATATGTTTGCACACGTGTGTATTAATCAACTTGTTCACCTCCTGTCAGCTAAACTGCACCAGTTTTAGATTATCAGTCACTTTGCTTTCATTATGCTTCCTGTACTCTGTGACTCAATTATCCATGTCCCCAGAAATCTACCATGCTAATTTAAACTCAGTAGAAAGTTCTGACCTCATATCTGAATACCATTTTTCTTTGATAGGAACACATGCATCCATTTAGTTGACACAAGTGCCAGGATTTGAACCAAAATCTTTACAGAGAAACAAAAGAACTGAAGCTGATCCACATATTCTCTAGGGTCTATTCAAACAGCACATGGGAGCATTTTGCAGTCACTGATTTTAGACTTCTGAGACAGTGCATAGTTGAGAAAGGTTTTAAGGCATGTCATTAGATTTATTACTTCCCCTTGCACTGAATTTGAATGAATTATTTGGTCTTTTCTCTATTTTTTTAAAGAGTGAGATTGGAGTGGGTGGTAAAAGAAGAAATTTAACTGGCAGGGATATAAATTTGCTTAAATATTTACATTAAAGTGCAAAATTAGGTCATTCACATTTCTTAACTTCATAATGCTCAAAAGTTACTAGTATCATCTTCCAGAAAATGTCTGCTGTGTCATTTAAATTTATATATGCCATTCAGTCACAACTTAATTACCATCTATCAGATGGTATATCCTGAGTCACTGTTGTTCTAAATTTAGTTTAAGACTCCTCAATGCAAACAAAGTTCTTTCTTTGTTGGTAAAGACATAGTAACTGGTGAAGTTCAAGTGCTGGTTTAAGCACGAAGGACACAAAGGTTAGAGAACAATAAATCTATTTTTTAAACAAATTGCCACCTCAATTCCCTGAGACCATGGACCACAGATTTCTGAGGAGAAAAAAAATAAATAGTGCACCAGTACTAGGAATGTTAACCTCATAAAGCTCTATCAGTTAGTCCAACACAGTTTATTAGAAGAATCAGGTTTACTTAAGGCAACTATGGAGTTATTAGAGAAAATGCTGCTTGAAATAATGAATTTGACTGAAATATATTAAATAGCTATAGTCATTACTCTAACAAATATACCATAGAAATTAACTTGACTATCTAATCATTTTACGATGATAAATTCATTTGCCAAATACATAAGGCCAGTAAACATTGCTAAGAACAAGTTATTTAATGAGATAACTGTAATACAATAAAATTGCAGGTCTTCAAGTTTTGGTCAAGTACAGGTTTTTCAGTATTTCACCCCCCATAGATTTCCTGCAGCCTATGTTTGGTGTAGGTAACCTTATTCTCCTCCCAACTACAGCTACAATGTAGGACTGGGATGGTAATAAGAGGATATAAACATATGTATATTATATGTACATAAGCATAAACACACACATATGTATATATAAGGTATGGATAGAGCCCTTGCACTCGAAGTATTCCGGTTGTGGGGCAGCCAATGGTTGTCTGTGAAAAAAGTGAGATATAGAATACAAAAGATAGGAAAATGATATTTGAGAAATTTGTTAACTTAAAACAGTTCAAAACATTGGCCAAATTTTCTAGAATAAAATTATAAATTGTAATAATTTTGGAGCATGAACAATCTGAAAATGATGTTCTAAGCAAGCTTCCTTGACAATAAATCTTCATGGACTGAGATAGGGGCTAGAAGTCCTGCAGTTCTCTCCCTGTGAAGCTTACATTCTCTATAGTAATCAATAATGAGATACGGCTATAATCCTCATGGGCAATACAAAGCTCTTGAGCTATGAAGGGAGTGTGATGGCTTCTAAGATTTGCTGAAATCCTGGCTGGGTTTAAAACTTCTGAAGTGGACCTATTTGTATCTTACAAGTGGCTTCCTATCTGGCTCCTGCCCTAGGGAAGAAGCCATAATTGAATTAACAGACAATGCATCAAGTTAATCCATTCAAGCAGTTTACACAATTTTCAGATGTGTAAACTGAGGCAGAGATCAGGGGCAACACAAAGCAGGTGCATGGGGTTGTACGTGCACCCCCTGAGAGTACCAGTGGACCCCTGTCAGGACACAGTGGGGCTGCCAGCAAAAGTGGCTGTGTCACATCCAGAAGTGGCCGCAGGACTTCTGGAAGCAGCACGGCCACTTCCATGGTGAGTGAGATTGGCCACGTAGGACTCTCCCCACCCCCAGTCAGCATGATCGGCCACCAGGGGACCCCCCCTCCCCCCTGGTCACTGACTGGTGTCAGGGAGGGGCACGTGCCCCCCGCTAACTCAAGAGGCACCAGACACCTATTGCAGAGATGGTAGGTAATTGACCAGATGTCAAATAGCAGGAA